TTCAGCGGGCTCAAACATGACAATGATTGTAAAGATGGTGCAGCATTTCGTTGTGCACAGCATGTCTGTAAGTCCGAGTCAGCTCTGACTTTTAATAATGACAGACTGGCCAAAAGGGGGGGTGGGGGGCGGTTTCTGTTGAAGTCACCTATTGGTGATGTTGCTGTTCGAGCAGCATAAGAAGCTAGATCACTTTACATATAGGTGAATGAAATACTGGTAGTGACTGATTTCATCTTCAAAACGTGAACTTTAATTTTACTTTGATGTTGTAGAGTGATCCTAAAGTAATTTCCAAAGTTTTGTATTCCTGGATGTGTTCTGAATTCTCAGTTTTTCTGCAATTTCACAACAGACTTCAATTATTTCTTAGCCTCAATTGAGGGGGAAAGTTGTATGCTGGTTTAGAAAAGTAGATTCTGAAATCAGGAAATTGCTAAACCTTGCTCTGGTACAAATGCAGGGTTTTTGGTAAGATCTTTGTAAGAATTAGAAGACTTAGGTTCTAAAACCTACAAATATTATGCACTTTTTCTTTTAGAATTAACTAAAGTATGCTAAAGATAATTTCTTTTAAAAAGTAACAGTGAGAGAACTTTTTTAAAAAAAATTTTTGTTAGAGATACATGTGGTAGTTCTTCTGTCTTCCTTCAGTTATTATGGTTGTTTCCCTTTGCTAATTGTTTCCCAGATTAATTTTAGCACCACTTTGCTTTAATTATACTCTACCTCATGCCAAGAAGACATCTATTTAGGAATCTTATGCCTCTGCATAGCTGGGATATTTCGTTATGGTGCTGGGACAAGCAGCTGCAGTGCTGGCCTTGAACTACTGGCACCTGTTGAGAAGTGCCAATAGCTTTAACTTCTCAAGCTCCAGAAATTTTTACCTAGGCCAGTTATGGTTTCACTTGCTATATCATGTTTGCTTGTTCATTGAGCCCATATTTAATAATGTGAAAGAGAATTTTAGGAGCTAAATTTTAAGGAATTTTTCATATGTTTGGAGTATAGCTGTTTGCTTTCATACAGGAAACTTGAAATTTGTTGTGTATTAACATTACAGCTAGATTTCTAAGAGCATACATACTGCTGGTTTGATTGTCTATAAAATCCTGCCCGTTTGCTTTATATTAAGCCTTTGTCTACTAACGGAAAGGCCAGCAGTTCAGAAATGACAAGGGCAGCTTAAGTTTTGTGCTAACACTTTAAGGCTTAAAATGAAGCACTGATCTGCAGCAGAGGAAATCCTTTGCTTGTGCAAAGCATATTTTGATGTATAAAAATCCACTGAGCGGTGTTAGGTTGGGGTCAATGAAAGAGCGCAAGACCCTCAGTGAGATGTATTGACAGTGGCTGACGTGTGTTAGATAGTGAGGATAGCACAGGACAGGAGAGGTTCAGGTCTTTTGTTCACATGGTTGCTTCTCGACTATACAGCACCTAAGAAGTGGCATAAAAGAACCAAAACATTGAATACTTCTATCTTAGGATGCATTCAATTGCAAAGGCACGTGGTTCAAATTCACCAAGGGAGGAAGAGGATGGTCAGTCTCCTCCCCTGAGATTTACTGTCTCTGAAAACCCGCTGGGCTGTCAGCTAGGGGTTGTTTCCAACTCAATGACATAAAACAACTCCAGCAGAGAGCCTTACCTTATATTAGGCAATTGGTGAATCTTGTTTTGAATTTCTTTTGAGGAAGTCACCCTGGTGTGAGTTGGTGATGCCCTGAGAGCTAGGGAGTCCCTTGTTGTCCCAAACAGTCTAGACTGCTGATCAAAATTTGGTAACTCAAGTCCGCCTAGAAGCTTATTGTCATTGTGAAGACCCTAGGAGGTGGAGTTCTACATTGGTCAACATAAGGCCACCTTGTTTAGGCTTTGCAGAGCCTGGGGCTTTGGCATTTGTTTGAAAGCATTTGGGTCCAAAAATGAGACTTTCAGAACCATTTGCCATTAAGTGATGTAAAATGGAGACAGCAGGACTGTGCTAGATTTGCAACATTGCCTCTCATTCTCCAAGATGTTTTTGACAAGCATGAAATTCCTTGCCTGTGATATGTTTAAATAGTACGGTTTTTTTAATACAACATTGGAAAGAGTGAGTAAAGTTTTTAATTAAAAAGTACAACATAAGTAACGTTCTTATTTTAGAAAAATTTATTTACCCTGAATCTTAACATTGAAAGCTAGGGAGGAAAAAACCTTGTATTTGCACCAGTAATAGATGAAAGAATAGCGTTTCTGTGTCCTTGTCGGCAGTAATGCCACTTTTTTTGTTTGTAGTGAGTTGGAGTGACAGAGGAGTTAATTCGAGACTAACCAGAATGTCAGTATCTTCTTTCTCTCGTGCTGCTGTAAAGTGAGACCATGAGTCTTTAACAAACATTGTCTTAGGGCGTAGAAGGCCAGATTCAGGTTGTCGGTTTTAGGTATTGAGAGTTCTGATGGCCTTGTGAATAGGTCCTTGTACAATGGTAGGTGGTTCCAGTTGGATAGCTTCTCTGCAGGAGGAAAATGGACATTCTCCTACAGCCTCTGAAACCCCACTGGAGGAGGGTCAGCTATGAGCTCTTCCGGCTCATGACTGCACTGAGAGAAAGTTCCATGGAAAGACTCACTCTCATGATGGTTGTCGAGGAAAGTCTTTTCGCATCTGTGGGCCACACATTCTTTGCAGGGCTGCATCTGTCCAGCCTTCCCTCATCTAGAGTCCATGAACATGCGCCTCATCCTGGCAGGTGGTTCTGAAGGGTTTTTTTGTTTGTTGGGTTGGGCTTTCCCCTGAGTTTATAGCTTTCCAGTTTACATTTATATTGGTAATCTATTTGGAGTTAATTTTACTATAAAGTGTGACATTGATGTTCTTTTTTATGGTCTGTTAATCTCTAATTCCACTGATACCATTTGTAGAGAATACAGTCCTTCTTTGAATTGCCTTTAGACCTTTGTAAAAAATCATTTGCATATATGAATAGATTAAGTTCTATCACTTTATTAAGCTAAAAGAAGCTGTAGCCATTCTACTGTTTTGTCTTTTTATATAAAATTCATAATAGTCTTGGTCATATATATGTTTTTAAATATATACAGGATTTAACTTGAAGCTTTTGTTAAAACCAAATATACTTTTATTATACCCCAGTAGACACACTTTCTCAGTATTTATCCCAGATAAACGGAAAAAATACCCCAAAAAACATATATTCACCAGCAGTCTATAAATAATACTCATGATAACTTTATTTGTAATAACCCAGTGGTGAATTACTAAATGTACTGCATTATAACCACGTCATGGAACACTCTCCAGCAATAAAAAGGCACAAACTATTGGTACACAAATCAGTTTGGATTGATTTCAGTAGTCATGCTGAATGCAGATAATCCATTCCAAAAGTCAGTATTATTCCATTTTTAAATGACAAAAATTAAATAAAGACAGAGTTGTGAGAGAGAACTTTGTGATTGATTGAGCATTTCTCTATTTTGATAATATTTCTTGTTTTTGTTGACTGCCTTGGAGTCAAGCATGACTCATAGTGTCCCTATGGACAAAAGGCCTGAAACCTTTCTGTAACTGTGGACATTTAGCAAAGTTCATAGAGTTTCCAGAGGCCTGTTGTTTAGGAAGTGGATGCCACTCCTGATGGTTATTAAATCTATACTTGTGCTAAAATAGAATTACACATGTTGTGTCAATATTCCAGTTTGAAATTGTGTCACTGTATCAGATGTTACCTTTGAAAGAAACTAAGGATACATGGGACTGTGTTCCTTTGGCAGCTTCTTGTGGATTATATTTCTTTCAAGATGAAAAAGATTCTTAAAAAACTTTTTGCAAATTCATATGCTGTTGAAAAAGGATGCTTCATGTCTTACTGTACTCATGATTTTTTTCTAAAAGAAATTAACTTTAAAAAATAGATTTGTTTGAGTTTATGAAATTCATCCACTGCCAGTGAGCCAATTCTGTCTCATGGTGAAGCTCTTCCATGCAGTTTGCACGGCTGTCAGTCACCATGGGAGCAGACCGCTCCTTCTCTCACAGAGAGAATCAGGAACCTTTTCATTTAGCAGCCCAACATACAGTGCCCTCTACCACCAGGGCCCCTGATCCAGGGGACTAGCTCTGATGCCCTATTAGGTAAGGAGTTGTGCTGCCAACCTAATCTAGGAAAAGGGGAGTTCAATAGTGTTAAAAGAAATACCAGCTTCCCAAGTTAATATATTTTCTCCAAACAGGACTTCACAAGATGCCTTTCCCCTCCGTCCCCCAAGGTGCCTTTTCTAATGTATTGATACACTGACTTGATGGGGAGAAAAGTATCAATACTGTGTTTATAATAAGGCTGGTTTTTGTGTCATAGATGAATTTTCAAATGTATCCTTTTAGTGGAGCTCTGCTAGCCCCGATGTTAATTACTTGACAGCTAAGGTTAATGATTTAACCCACCATACAGGAGAAATCTGTAACCCTAAGATGACAGTTGTGGAAACCCTGCGAGGCGGCTCTGCTCAGTTCTGTGGGTTTGCTGTGAGGCAGAATTAACTGGGTAGCAACAGTTTATCATTGTCCTGGGCTTAGTGTTTAAATTAAAAGTTGATGAGTTCACCTATTTTTAAGTCTCAAGTTTTATAAGTTACCATCTATAAAATGCTTGGCATATAGTACATACTCAATTTTGAATGAAATTGTAGAAACTGGGAAAATAAGATCTTTCTGTCCACAGTTTAAGCGGGTGGGGTGGTGGGGGTGGGACCAACCCTGGGCTTTTATTTTTGGTAAGATATCAACCATTTCTGATTTGACTCCTGTCCATTTTCTCTTCCGCTCACAATATTTTAGTCTTTTATTTTGTACTTGCAAAGTTAAAATTAGGAACTTTAAAAAAATATATATTTTATTGCATGTCTCAGTAACTGTTTTGATTCTCATGTACTACTTTAACTTTTCTACCCTTCAGGTTCTTCCTGTCTTCTTATAGTCAACCAGAACAATGTTCTACGCACATTTTGTTCTCAGTAAAAGAGGGCCTCTGGCCAAAATTTGGCTGGCGGCCCATTGGGATAAGAAACTAACCAAAGCCCATGTGTTCGAGTGTAATTTAGAGAGCAGTGTGGAGAGTATCATCTCACCGAAGGTATGTTTGATGCCATTATTTTTATACACTTTGTCAACTGTTTACTAATATGAAAAATGGAACTCTATACAATAGCTTTTTAGTAGGCATCTACGTTTATTGTGGACATACTTGCCCCTAATATGTTTCTTCAGCACACTAAATGTGATTTGCCTACGTGTGTATATTTTCTTAATTTAGAAATATGTGGAATATTCAGTGTAGGAAGATGCCTGTAAATTAGTGATGAACCAGCCCAGGGAGACCTAAGATCTCCCAGCTCTGATGCCAGATTAGTGTATAGCACATCCTACTCCAGGCTCAGCTGCCTTCCCTGGAAATCTCAGCCTCCTTTCCTGGTCTGCTTTATGACTCCTCATTTTTCTTAGGTCTAATAATTCCTTAAAATGACTCGCAGAATGCAGAGAAAGGGCTATCTTTAGGAGGAAAAAAACCCTACAAATATACAGGCGCTGTCTCTGCAAAGAACTTCCTTAAATCTAGGGAGGTATTTAAGAGCAGGTGTTATCTCTGTCCCCCCAGGAAGTCTAATTCCACTTGAGCATCTTAGTCCTGCTTGCTGGTTCTTGGAGACGCCAAGCGTTTTCCCCACCTCAGAACTTTTGCACCCCCTTTGTCTTTTCTCAGAAACATTCATATCCTAGGTATTTGCTCCCTGACTTAGCTGCTGTCTCCTACTGAAATGGAAGCTCCATAAATGTCTGTCTCTGCATTACTTATGGCTGTGTTCCCAGAGGACCTTTTATTGACATCCTCTGAAACTATTCTGAAACAGTGGCTTCCAGGCTTGGATTTCACAAATGTGGTTGTTATGTGCTGTCAAGTCACCTGCGACTCATGACAACCCTATGCACAACAGCTCTGAAGCCTGCTCTATTCTGAACCAGTCTCACTGACTGACACACCTACCTGCATTACCCCAGTTACTTTATAATCCGTCTCATCTACGGTCTTCCTCTCCTGCGCTGTCCCTCTACCCTTTCAAGCAGATTTCGATGTCCTGCAAGGATAAGGTCCCTCCTGACCATGTGCCCAAAGTATGTGAGATGGATCTTCAAAATTCTTACCTCCAGGGAGCAGCTTGGTTTCACCCTCTTCTAGACAGTCTTTGTTCTCTTTTGGCAGTCCAGGGTATGTTCAAAACTCTTCTCCAGGACCACAACTCAAAGGCATTAATTATTCTTCTGTCATCCTTGGTTATTGTCCAGCTTTCAGATGTATAGCAATTAATAAGACCATGACCTAGATTAGGTACACCTTAGTCTCTAGACTGACATCACTGCTTTCCATTACTCTGGAGAGGTCCCTGACTTTGTATTTTCCAGTCCGATTAATCTTCTCATTTCCTTACAGCTGGTGCCAAGAGTGTTGATTGTTGATGTTGATGTATTCCACAAATAATGTAATTTAAAGTAACAGGTTTGTGGGTTATTTTTGCTCAGAAAGGACTTTTAAAACAGATTTAGTTGCCATTTTATTAGAAAAATAGCATTCTTATTTCAAGTATTAAAAAACAACAGATAAGTCTTGGGGAAAAGTCAGCCAAAGTGCTCATAGGAGACAAGTCTACTTCATCTCATACTTCATGCATGTTGCCTAGGAAAGGCTATTCTTTGGAAAGGGACATAGTGCTTAGAAAGATGAAGGGTCAGTTTAAGAGAGGATGACCATCAACAAGATGGATAGAGACAGGGATTGCAGTTTGGCACAGAATTGGGTAGAGACAGGGTCACCATGAGTTTACTTATCTCATTGGCACCAAACAACAGTGTCAAAGGAGAGTAGTTATTAAATGTAGCTTCCATATTTTATATGTGTATATGTAAAATTGTGTTTTGGTCCCTTATTCACATAAATATACATTGTTTAATTGTTGAAGACTTCCAGAACAAACTTGTACTCCCAGCATTAGGAACCACTCTTGCACCAGTTGATAGGGTAGTACTGATGTGGTATGTTGTTTTCTTACTTTTTTTAAAAAAAGATGAGTAGATATGTACTGCTGAAGGAGGAATGAAACTGCAGATGGAACAGAGAATTGTTCAGAGAATGTGTGTGACAAAAGTTTAAAAATAGGGGAAATGAAAGTTTCTGCTCGGAATTAGATTGAACTGTAAAGCTTTCATTTGTGTATGGAATTTGCTAGTTTGAGAGTTATAACTGACAAAATTTAGTACTGAAAGCATTAGTACCATCTTTTGAAGCTCATGCTAATTTGAAAAGCTTTTACACAAAATAATACGAAAAAATGATCTGTAATCACACTGCTTGGGGAGCCTGATTGTTATCTTGCTGTGTGCCCTTTTAAAATAGGCTTATATTATGCACATAATTTTTTTTTATTTTTTTGTGTCTGTACACAGTTGCTGCATTATATTGTTTTCTTAACAAGGCTGCTTTTAGAGAGAATTCTTTTTGCAGCTCTGTCGCCATTTTTAACAGCTGCATTGTGCCAGATTATCACTTATTTGTGGAATTTAATTTTTTTAAGAAAATGTATACCTTATTATTAACAGGTTTTAACTTTTTTTTTTTTTTTTAATTTCCATTCATTCATTGTTACACATTTCCTGTCTTGTTCCTCCTCCTCCCACCAGTTTGCTTTTTTCTTTGGGAAAAAAATGACTTCATTGTTACACTGTTTCCATAGTCCCCCTAGCACCTCTTTACTATGCAAATCTTATTCATGCCAATAATACCTAAAGTTCCTTTTATGTATCTCATCTGTTTCAGTGCTGTGTACATTATTTATCCTCTCTTTTCTTAGTTTTCCCCCAACCCCCATATCAATCCTGTTCTATGACAGTGGCATTCTACAGTGTTTGTCTTTTCTGTCACAGATATTTCTCTCAGCATAATGTCCTCCAGGGTTGTCCATTTTGTATGATAATTACATCAGTTCCTTGTTTTTCAATGTTGCATAGTATTCCGTTGTGTGAATATACCACAGCTTCTCTATCCATTCGTTTGTTGATGGGCACTTGGGCTGTTTCCAACTCTTTGCTATTATGAACAAAGCGGCAGTAAATTTGCTTGGGTGGCACTTCTGGTTTCTTTAGGGTATATTCCCAGTAGTGGAATTGCTGGGTTAAATGGTATTTCTGTTTGCAACTTTTTGAGAAAGCACCGCCTTCCACAGTGGTTGCACCATTTTACACTCCCACCAACAGTGCATGAGGGTCCAGTTTCTCCACAACCTCTTCAGCATTTCTTGTTTGCTGTTCCTGTTAAATTTTGCTATTCTTACTGGGATGAGATGATTTCTCAATAGTTGTTTTGATTTACATCTCTCTTGTTAGAGCTAGAAATTTTAAACATTTCTTCATGTATTTGCTGTCTGTCTTCTTTAAGTGTCTGTTCATATGCTGTACCTTTATTTACCTTATCTTGTTGTGGTGCTTGAGTATTTTATACATTTTAGATATAAGTCACTTATCAATCAGACATGTTATACCAATTTTTTTTCCCCCCAGTTTGTGGCTTCTCTTTTTTACTCTGTTGGAGAAGTTTTTGGATGTGCATAGGGATTTGATTCTTAGAAGGTCCCATTCATCTATTTCATCCTCTCCTGGTTGTAGGGATTTTTTTGAAAGCTTGAAAGACTGTTTTCAAGTTGTGGATTAGTGGTTTTAGGGTTCTCCCAAACTTTTCTCTAATGAAGTTTGTAGTCCTTGGTTTTAGTCCTAGGTCCTTGATCCACTTTGAGTTAATTTTTGTGTATGGTGTGAGGTGTAGGTCTTGTTTGAGTTTTCTGCAGATGATTTTGCAACATTTGTTAAAAAGGCTGTTGTTTCTCACTTAACTGATTTCATATCCTTGTCAAAAATCATTTACTGTAGGGTAGATGGGCTGATTTCTGGGTTCTCAGTTCTATTCCATTGATCTGTGTGTCTGTCATTGTATCAGTACCACTCTGTCTTCACTACCACGGCAGTGTAGTAGGCTTTGAAGTCAGGGAGTGAGATGCCTCCTACCTTGTTTCTTTTTTTAAGGAGTGCTTTGCTTATTCTGGGCCTCTTTCCATTCCAAATGAAACTGGAGATTGCCTTTTCCATCTCATTGAAGAATGGAATTGGTATTTCTTTGTATTGGGATTGCATTGAACGTGTAGATTGCCTTTGGTAGTATTGTCATTTTCACAATATTGAGTCTTCTATCCATGACCAAGGGATATTCTTCCATTTCTCCAGGTCTCTCTTTGTTTCTTGTAGTAATGTTTTGTAATTTTCTTTGAATGGATCCTTTGTGCTTCTGGTTAGATTTACTCCCAAGGAATTTTAATTTTTTAAAAAATTCTCTGAAAACAAACTTGAAGCTCAGCTAAAGTAGCTTAAGCATTTATATTATAGACGTGCATGCATTTATTTACATACATACATGGCATATATATACACATGCTATCTCCCTTGCCCTCCGCTTCCTTGACTTCTAACTGGAAAAGCCACTGAGTGACACCCTGTACAGAACTTTCCCTGAATATATGATATCTTCTTTATTAGATCTAAGCTCTAAACTACACTAACCCAGGAAGAAGGCTTGTGGAGAGAATACTTTGTCATTTGTTTCCTTAAAGATTTCAACCAGGCAAAACTTACAGGAAATTCTACCCTTTGTGTAGCACTATTAAGATTCAAACTCAGCTGGGCATCATGCTTAAAGGGGTTGGTTTATATTCCATATCAGTTCTCATGACTGGACACCACTCTTGGAAAGTTTCTAATTCCTGACAAGAAGATTAACACGCAGAGATTTTTGCCCTCCTTTCTTAGGTGAAGGTTCAGTCCATGTGAATTTTGGCATTCTCTCCCCCAAAACTTTGTCAGTAATGTTATTTTCGTAGGAAGAATGTTTGACTTGTGAATTACTTTAAGGGTTTAGCATCAGATAAGCATGTTGCTACAATTTCATGTATCACTCTATACGAAATTTTACCAGTAAATATCCTAATTTTTGCTGTTCTTGTGGTGTGGCTATAAATAGTAGAAATAGCTTGAGGTCCTTACTATGCCTTCAAGTTCCATAAACTACAAATACAGTTTTAAAGCTTGATGACATCCAGGAGCTTCCCTTTCTTAGCTCTTGGTTTAACTTCAGATTTTGGTCTTAGGGTAACACAGTAACTACAGGCAGCTCCCAGGCTCTCCCTGCTTACCACACCGGAAAGGAGAGAGAGACTCTTTCATTAGGAAAGTCTTTTGCAGAACCACTTTGACTTTCTCCTCCGCTGTCCTGGGTTACTCAGGACACACATTGACACCGAAAACTGAGTTAATCATCTGCTGAGCCTGAGAATAGTCATCTCCCAGACAAAGTCAGACTTCCTTTTTAAGATGTTATGGCTTCAAGTTGGTCATACCATAATAAGCTATCGAACACTTTCTCTACTTCATAGCTGTTGCACATGTTAATTCATGATCTGCTGCTCAGCTTATTGTTTGGTGAGACATATGGAATTTAACAGGCATTTTAAAAATATTTAAAAACTACTTATAAATTGCACAAAAATGTAGGCTTTGAAGTACACATACCTCTAACCCTATGAAATTATGGACTTGATAAATTTTGTTTTATTTATAGGTAAAGATGGCACTTCGAACATCAGGACATCTCTTGCTGGGAGTAGTTCGAATTTATCACAGGAAAGCCAAATATCTCCTTGCAGACTGTAATGAGGCATTTATTAAGATAAAGATGGCTTTTCGACCAGGTATCGTTGGGCCTGTTTGTCACTGTAGCATTTCTCATGTTGGTATGGAAAACTGCAAAAACAGGAAATTCACTCTACTTCTGTTTCTCCTGCCTCTGGAATTGTGGAACATAACTTTTATTGTTGTTGTTCATCCTCTTTCAGTGTTTCATTCTATTGTAGGTAGGATCTTAACTCCACCCCCGCTTAAGTGCTTGTTTTTGTATGCTTTTTTGTGTGTGTAATTTGAGAGAAAATTTGCAGCACAAATGCAATAGATACTGTAGACCCTTTTAAAGATACAGGAAAATTAGTCATAATTATACTCTAAAATCATCAGTACCTTAGCATTTCAGGTATACCTTTGCAATTATTCCATTACCTTTTAATAAGTTTCATGCTCCCACCCCCATTTTATTTTATTTTAGTATTTTTTGTGTTATGTGTACGGTCAAATCACATCTGACTGACTGGTAGAGGAGGAGATTGCGCCTCTTTCTCTAGCAGAGCATCATCTGGTGGATTCAAACAACATACCTCTGGGATTGCATGCAGCTTCTTGCTACTAAGCCACCAGGGCTCCCTAAGTTTTTTATGTTTTCTTAAGAAAACCATTTGTTGGCATGAACATTTTATTTATTTTTTTAATTTTTACTTTTTTTTTTTTTTGGTATGTATACCATCGAATCAGATCTGACTAGTACTGGAGGAGATTGTCCCTTCAGCAGAGCATCTGGTGGATTCAGACTGCGCACCTCTGGGATTGTACTGCAGCTTCTTGACACTAAACAACCAGAGCTCACTGGCATGAACATTTTAAAAGCTGTATCAGCTTAATATATAATTATTTGTGCGTTTACCTTTTTTGATAAAGCAAATTGAATAACATATATAGGAACAGAAGTATTTGTGCTTCTGGGTATTCTGAATGTATCATCACCTCTTTTACAGGATTAAGAAATCACACTGACTTTGCCTTCTTTTGACCCTTAATCAGTCTGTGGTGGATTTATTTTTTTTTTTTCTGTGGTGGATTTAAATATTAATGCTTAGCGTTAAACTTAACATCTCTTTTTCAGGTGTTGTTGATCTGCCTGAGGAAAATCGGGAGGCAGCATATAATGCCATTACCTTGCCTGAAGAATTTCATGACTTTGATCAGCCACTTCCTGACTTAGAGTATGTGTGTCTGCCTCTCTCTCCCCCCCACCCCTCTGAATTCTTGCCTTGGTCTAAGACAAGACATTATTGGCTTCTAAGTGTATGCATTTTTTAGAATGTTTTGACTTTGAGTTAGCATGTAACTTAAATGTATATGCTTTTATTTAGACTGGTTTATAAATATTACGTGACATAGAAAATGTTGAGAGTAACATGTAGATGTCAATTTTAATAAGATATGATACACTTACTTAGACCAAAGCTTGTATAAATTGAACAGCTGTTCAGCTGTGTGCTTTACATAAGGCTGTACCTGAACTTGAACTATGACTTGATGTTTTTTAAGTTAGAATTGTACAAATGCACCTCTGTCCTATATACTTAATATATATTAAAGTCTGATAGTCTTGGCCAAGTTATCTTTTTTTTTTTTCTTTTTTGCTAGGTTCTTTTTTTCCTCTCATTTTATTAATTTATTTCTTTTTCTGATAGTTTCATATAAAATTCATTTGTATTGTTTCTCATACGTTCCTTCATTCACATTATTTCATACACTCATTTCCATACATTTTGTTTTAGAAAATTACCATTGAATCGCTTCCACTATCACCCCATCTTTTGACGACTTCACTGTATCTTTCCCATGTCTTCTACCCTTTCCTTCTGTTCACCAAATTGTGTCACCCTGTAAATTCTCCCTTGCCCTTTCTCACTGCTCTATTCCCTACCCTTCCCCCATTGAACCTTCATACACATTTTACCAGATACCCTTCTAATTTTACAGTAATGATCTTAGTATTTGTCCTTATGAGATTGAGTTAGTTCATTCAGCATAATGCTCTCTAGTCTCTCCCATGCTATGTTCTCTGTTGATGTACTGGGCTATGTTCTTTTTATAAGTAAACATGTTAAATTTGCATTAAGAACAAGAAGGGTTCATTGCTAGGACACATGTTTCAGAGGAACAAGTTGTACAGAGATAGCCATGATAGCCAGAGTGCTGTGATGTTATAACATCTCCATTTTGAAATAATCCCTTGCCTCCTAATAATCAGAGTAGATTTCTGTAACCTATTTTTTTATGTGTATTACTCTAGTCATTATCTACACACCTTGGTTTTTTGTTTTGCTGTATTTTTATCATGGTCATTTTCAAAATAACTAAAAAGTAGAGTGTTGATATAATGAAACTCACATACCCATCATTTAGCTACTATAATTACCTATATTTGGCTAATTTTATTTCACCTGTTTTCATCGGTCCATCCCACTCCCACTTTTATTTTAAAGCAGATCACAGTTTTTTCATTTATGATTATTTTAGTGTTTCTCTTTAGAGCTAAGGAATTTTTTTTTACATTTTTTTTTTTACTTTTTAAAACATAACGGTAATATATACCACGTTTTTAAAAGTTAATGCTAATTCTTAATATACCGCTCAGTATGAGTCCTGCCCAACTTGAAAGCAGTCAACAATTGATAACGTAGTTTTTGTTGGGCTGTTTTTTGTTGTTGTTGTGTTTTTTTTTTTAAAGGAAAAGGAACAATGATGTTATATTCATAGTTTGGTGGAGTTGTTGTATTGGTTTGGTTTTGTCCCCCCCAATGCTGTCGCGTCAGATCCAACTCTACAGGAGATTTCCTCCCCTTTTCCAGCACAGCATCTGGTATATTCAAACCACGGTCCTTCAGGATTGCAGCGCAGTTTCTCGCCACTAGGCCACCAGAGCTCCCTTTGATAAATAGTTTTGTTTGAATCAGGATCTGAACAGAGTCTACACACATTTGGTTGATTTTCCTAAGCAGTCCCTTTCAAGAGTTCGTAGTATCCTGCCTCTTAATGTTTTGTTCCTTCTCATTTATTGAACAAAGCTAGTTGTTTTACACTGGTACAGTTTGGATTTGGCCAATAGTTTTTAAAAAGCTAGATGACTTTGTAGCATTTATTCAACCTGTAAGTTGCAGAGTCCTAGTGAAAATCCATGTACTATAAATATTTAGCTCATGCATCTCTGAATTTTTCCTCCATGCTCCATGTAACTTTATGTGGTAATTTAAGTATATTTTTATTGCCTATCATTGATAATATATTAGATGAGCTAAAGTACAAATTAAGTTAACTTCCCGGCACAGGGCAGATTCTTGTACTGTATTGAAATTTATTTATTATTAATATATTTGAACTCTTAAACTTTTGAGGATTCTTTGTGTTTTCTTTTTTTTGTTAATAAAGATAAGAATATTTTCCCCTTAACACAATTTAAAAGTTGCTGCACACTTTTAAATTGGCAACTGTGCTTGGAAACACATTTTTTTTCGATGTATTACCATCATTTGTGGCAACGTGTTAAAAATACATTATAGTGAGACTTGAGACTTAGATTAAAATATATTTTTAACTTTCTTTAAAGTGACATTGATGTGGCCCAGCAGTTCAGCCTGAACCAGAGTAGAGTGGAAGAGATAACCATGAGAGAAGAAGTTGGGAACATCAGTATTCTACAAGAAAATGATTTTGGTAATAGAGATGTAATTGTTAACCATTTATTATATTAAAACTATTTCTGGCAAGTTCAAAAAGAAAACAAAACATTACATTTTGTACTGATGGGAAGAATTAACATTTTATCTGATGCATTTCCATCAAAGAAAGAATTTATTCTACTGCAAGTATAGTGTCAATTTTATCCACAGACCCCGCTTACACTGAACCCTCTATGCTTCCTGTATATAACGATAGAATGTGAATATTAATTGGTGTTCAGAATCTCAATGTGGAAATGAGGTTTTCAAAAGGAGCCAAATTCTTTTCTTGGTAAAAAACCCTTAGTAATGTTTAACTGAATTTTAATGGTACGTGGGTAAGAAGTTGTGTTGCCAGCCTGAAACCAGGTGGTTCGAGTCCATTAACTGCTCGATGGGAGAAAAGATGGGCAGTCTTCTACACAATTTAGTCCCTGAAAACACATTGGAAAGTCATCTGTGAGCCGTTCCAACTCAGTGGCAGTGAGTTTGAGTTTTATGTTTTTATATACACACACACACGTTTTGCTTGACATTTAGAATAAAAGTTGGCATTTCTAAATTGAGTATCAGTTAAGTTTACAAAATTTAGATATTGAAGAGTTCATATGAAATCTAAATGTATTTACATTCAAAGGTAAACAGGATTTACTAAAGAAGTGTGACATAATACAGAATGAGTGGTGTTCTTTTGTAACAGTGATGGTTCTGACCTTTTCAGCATCTAACTTACTACATCTTGTTCAGGTGACTTTGGAATGGATGACCGTGAGATCATGAGAGAAGGCAGTGCTTTTGAGGATGACGACATGTTAGTAAGCACCAGTGCTTCTAACCTCTTACTTGAGCCTGAGCAAAGCACTAGCAACCTGAATGAGAAAATTAACCATTTAGAATATGAAGACCAATATAAGGATGACAATTTTGGAGAAGGAAATGATGGTGGCATCTTAGGTAAAGCAAACACCTGATACACATCTGTTTGTTTACTAGCATGGTTAAGTTCCAAACACCAGATCATTGTGCAAAAATTGACATTATACAAAAGTGGAAAGATGACTACATCAGATCACAAAATGACTCCATTACCTGTAAACCACTGACAAGTTAGGCTGTGACAGTTGATGCAGCCTTGACCATCAGTAGCCAGCTTTTACACTCACATAGCACCACAGTAATTATTTCTTCCAGACAAAAATCACTAATGTGCGAAATAGTTGGATAGTAGCTTTTTAATGTTAGAGAAGGATGTGGTCCCTGAGAATGTATATAATTTATTCTCTGGTTATAATCTGGAGCAATTGCTAATTCTGCATCTTGAGCAGGTACCTAGGTACATATGTAAGTAACATGACCAACTAGTTAATTTTTTGTGAAATTAAAGCCTTTAAAAGGTTACATCCATACTTGATTTTGGTGTTTTTTTAGGTCCATGTTAATAGTATGTAAACTGAAAAGGTACTAATTTTAAATCTAAATGTATACTTTGAGAAGAAACTGATAAAAAATGAATGCACAGATATAAATTTAATCCATTTTAACATAATTTTATTTTTAGTATTTGTTTTTCACATTGTAACTGAAATTTTCCTATTTCAGATGACAAACTTATTAGTAATAATGATGGCGGTATATTTGATGATCCCCCTGCTCTCTCTGAGACAGGGGTAATGTTGCCAGAGCAGCCCACCCATGATGACATGGACGAGGATGATAACGTGTCAAGTAAGCAGTTACTGCTGGATAATACCTGGGATCCTTGTATGGAAAGTATTTAACAGAATCCTAGGACTAAAGAATTTTATTTTTCTATGATCTAAAAGAGCCTGTAAAACTTTGTTTATGATTGATTACTAGTTTTATGTGTGCAACGCTATATTACTTTCTCCCCTTTTTAGCCCATGATTTCAACTTTGGAGGGTTTTCTTTCTAGTTTGTAGATAATTCCCCACCGCTCCCCCCCTTCCCTCCAGTTACAGGACATCTCTTACCAAGCATTTAGTGACCATATTTCTGCTATTGTAGTGGGTGGGCCAGATAGTCCTGATTCTGTGGATCCTGTTGAACCAATGCCAACGATGACGGATCAGACAACACTGGTTCCAAATGAGGAAGAAGCATTTGCTTTGGAACCTATTGACATCACTGGTAAGCAAATTTTTCCATGTATAGAGCTGAGAGCACTGTAATCTGATGTCATTTTGGAAAACAAAGCTGATTTCTGCTTTGTCACAGTCATTTGTAAGATCTTGGTTTCATTTTAATTTTTGAGTAGCTTGTGGAAATATCTAAGTTGGTGTGAAATACAAAAGCATAAAACAATCTTTCTGCTATTTTATAATTTACTGTGATCTTTATCTCTCTTACTCTCTCAGAGAATATTAAAGGACTGTGTTTTTTATTTGTTTTTACTAATAAAGCCTGAGAGTGTGAACTGATCACTTTTATACTTAGGAAGCCTCGTGGTAAAGAACTGCTGTCAGCCTGAAGGCCTGCAGTGTGACGCTACCAGCTGCTCCAAGGGAGGAAAACGGGTACTTTACGCCTGTACAGTTTACTGCCTCTGAAAACCCACTGGTGCGTCAGCCATGAGAGATTCTGACTCGACAGTACACAAAAACAGTCACTTCTCTCCCACAAGTTCTAGCTCTATAAAGTTGAGTTGTAGTCTGGAGAAACCGAGAAGTGTTTTGTGGTGACTATTGAAGGTTCTAAACTTAGTATTAATAGTGAACAAATTCCAGTCTTTGTGGATCTTTAATGCTAATTAGAACAATATGGATGTTAGTAACAAGTATTAAAGAGACCTGTAAAACAGGGTATGGTGTTGTGAGGTGTTTAAAATGGGATAGGCTTCCTTTGGTGAGCAGTGTCAGAACTTAAGATGTGTACTTCTTCCAGGTGTTAGAACTCGCACCTGCAGAAGAGCAGTTGGAGAGAGACCATCTTTGTGTTACATCTGTTATTTATCTTTCAAATTTTTATGCACTTGAAATGTGTAACATAAAGTGTAATATGTCTAATAGAATCACATTTTCAGAGGTGTTTTTTTTTTAACTCTGTGGGCTTTTATAAAAAACAAAACCTAAGAAAAATAAGGCTGCCTACTTTGTAAGGTTGTGGTAAGGATTAGAAATTCATAAATAGGCATCTCACATCGACTTCTAGGCTTGTATTACTGGTCGTGGCCTGTTTCACTCACTGAGGCTGCTAGTGCAGCACCATTTGTTAAAATTTTTTTTAGTAGAAGTAAATAATGATTATGAATATATTATAGGACTTAATACTGGGCAGAATTCTAAGTATTTTACATCACCTGCGTATGGGTGATTAGCCAAACTTAAGCAGTGTGAAAATAGCTTTGATTGATGTTCACACAGCTTTAAATGGCAGAACTGAGGACTTGAGCCCACGTCTGAATCAAGTATGATAGATTTGATGTGTGGAATATAAAGCTCTAGGAGCAAAATGTACTGGCTTCATTTTGCATGAGAGTATCTAAACTTCAGCACTTGTAATATTTTTTTTACATGTGTCTGGTATGTTCCAGCCCTTGTTTAATTGGTACTTAGAAAACAGTTTATGAAACAGATCCCTTTTGGTTCTGAACTTTTCAGCTTAGCTGTATAAACTTCTCTAGAGTTTGTATCTAGAAAATCAGGAGATTTGATGACTAACAGATATTTAATACTGAGGATTTTTGGGAGGGTTTTACTGTTGTGTTAATGCTGACTGATAGTGATCATGAAAGATAGAGTAGAACTATCTTACAAAACTAAACGTCTTTGTTTCTCAGAGCAGCTGGTAGCTTCAAACCACTTTGCTTTAGTGCTTAACTACTGCACTAGAACCAGGAGGTGTGGCCTCAGGAAAATAACCTTTTCCTGCTTTTTTTTTTCTTCTCTATCATTCCAGTCAAAGAAACAAAAGCTAAGAGGAAGAGAAAGCTTATTGTTGACAGTGTCAAGGAGTTGGATAGCAAGACCATTAGAGCCCAACTTAGTGATTATTCTGATATTGTTACAACTTTGGATCTGGCCCCACCCACCAAGAAACTAATGATGTGGAAGGAGACAGGTGGAGTGGAAAAACTTTTCTCATTACCTGCTCAGCCTTTATGGAATAATAGACTACTGAAGGTAAAAATGGGATACTTTTTTGTTGTTTTCAACTTTACCTCAGATTCCTTTTTTTAAAAAATCAGTGTGTGAGCATAATCTTACCGTTAAATGGTTGCTATATTCTTGTAAAGACTACACATTGCTGTACTGTTTTTAAATATAATGATACGTTCCACTTAACATTTCTAGAAATAAAGAATTCATTCTCTTTGTATTTAAAAATACCCCTGAAGTTCTTAATACTTGTTCTTGCTCATCAACCTCTTATAATAAAGTATTAAGTCTTTGATTTTCTGATGTAATTTGGTGCATGTCAAATGAGCTTCTCTTTTTCCCCCTACAATAAAGGAACACTGACTCTAAGAGTAATACTTTCTTTGAAAGTACTTTTCTGGCTGTCTTTGGATTCCAAGTGATCGAGAATAAGTTTTAGAAGAGTGATGAGTAAAGCAGTGCAGTTAGATGGTTGTTTTAGCTAAAGCTTGAATATGTATAAAAACATTATCATATCAAGTTCTAAATAGAATATATTCCACAGCACTAAGTTTTGGTCAACTACACCTTCCTGGAAGGGCGACAGCTTGTAATTGTTTGGAAGGCCTTTCGAAGTCCTTCCAGGAAGGTGTAGTTCACCACAACTTGCTGCTTTGGAATATATTCTATTTTTTAAGGACTTTCTACTCCCCAAACAAAGTAATTTCAAATGTAGGAAAGACTGTTATATGACAATATTTCTTCTATATTTATAGTAATGGGGATTTCATAAAATAAATAATGCCCGTATTAAAAAATAGAGAATTCTTACATTAAAAAGTTATAAAATCATCCCAGAATAGTGTGCAACCTTTGAAATTATAGTTAAGATTATCATAGTTATAAGTGGGAAAAGTATGAATTGTAATATTCCAGTTGAGTTGACTTTTAACTACATGATGTGAACGTGAACTGCAGGTAGATAAATTAAAAGTCCTGGTGCGTTATGGGACTAAAATTTTTCATTTCTTTATTTTAAATTTGGCTAAAATTGCAGTAGTTAGAATTTGAAGACCACATGTAAATCATTAAGATAGACTTGAAGTGTGACTGAAACTATTCTAAGTCCTATTTGTGATGATTCTGCCTGTATTTATAAAAACATACTTAATGGAAAGTGCAAATGGTGGGTTTCCAGTTAAGTGATTTTTTGGGGGGGGAGGGGGTCTTTTAATTAATAAAAATTTTTCTTTTTCCTCTAGCTGTTTACACGCTGTCTTACACCACTTGTACCAGAAGACCTTCGAAAAAGGAGGAAAGGAGGAGAGGCTGATAATTTGGATGAATTCCTCAAAGAATTTGAAAATCCCGAAGTTCCCCGAGAAGAGCAGCAAGCTCAGCCACAGCAGCGTGATGTCATCGGTCTGTCCTGTGGGAGGAGTCCCCTGATCTGGCTTGGCATTAACTTGTATATTGCTAAAGTGAAATCAGGAAAAGGGAAGGAGCTGTCCTGATAGCTCACAGGCATATAGTCCAAATCCCCCAGCTGTGCCACAGGGAGAAGATGGACAGTCTCCTCCTGTGACCGCTAAAGGGTCACCTGTCACCCAGCAGTGAACAGCTTCAGTCTTGGGACAAGAAAATGCTTTGCACCTGTTTGGCTAAAATGCTTTCTGATTTGGGGCAGTTGCCCTGCTAACCCAACATTTCTGGTGGCTCTAATCCACCAGCAACATAGCAGAAGAAAGATGAGCAGTTGCTTTCAGTGTGATTTACAGTCTCCAAAATCTTAACCAGATGGTCAGCAATAGGTGTTGTGACTCCACAGCTTGGAGAATAATTCTTCTGTTTTCAGTAGGTTCTGACTGACTGAACATCAAGTCTGTTAGACTGTTCTGCGTTATAACAGAAGTCGGATTTGTCCTCTTAGGGTCTCTTGCCATCTCTAAAGAGCTCTGGTGGTACAGTGGTTTCGTACATGCTTGAGTGCTAACCGAAAGACAAGTTGTTTAAAGCCCATGACCCCTCCAGGGAAGAAAGATAAGGCAGTTTGTTTCTTTTAAGCTTGGATGGCCAGTGGGGCAGTTGTTTTTTGCCAGAAAGACTCACCAACAGTAGGATTTGCGCTATTTTTATTGCACTTTTATTTTTATTGCACTTTTAAGTGTATTGTTATAAACTGGGTAATCTTTATTTAGGTAAAATTCCATTTTACTTCTTTTAGAAAAATACCTTTGCCATATCTTGATGTACTAGTATCAAAAAGTAAAATGGTTCTAGATTATTGAAGACCTTAGCTTCCTCTTCTTATGACTAATTTCAGATGAGCCCATTCTGGAAGAGCCAAGCCGCCTCCAGGAGTCAGAAATGGAAGCCAGCAGGACGAACCTGGACGAGTCAGCCATGCCCCCACCGCCACCCCAGGGAGTGAAGAGGAAGATTGGCCAAGTGGACCCAGAACCCACCACTGTACCTGTAAGCTATTTTATTCACCTGCACATTAGACAATATTCTGAGAATCATGAGATTCCTGGTAGTCACAGAGGAGTCCTCTTAAAGTCCCTTGGTGTTAGACAGAAATAGACTCAGAAAGAATGGTGGTTAAGGATATAAAAAGTCTGCTTTGAATGACATGTTTCATGAGACCTCAGGTCTCCAGCACTTGGGATTGATTGACTAGACTCTTTGTTGTTTCCGAGTGTTCCTAGTGAGTATCCTACTAAACTTACCTCCCGTTTATTCTTAAGCAAACATTTCACGTCTGAGCACTTTTAGGCTGTCCTATAAAGCAGTACTTGTCAGCAGGGGGGGAGAAATATTTGACTACTTCATTCAGTCTTTAGCTATCATTAAATTGACTCAGGATAGGAAAACTCAGTAATTAAATGGAAGTGCGACTGGAGTTAGGGCTTCCAAACCCAATCTGATGTCTGTAGAAGAAATATATTGGAGTAAAAGGAACGAGTCCACCATTGGAGTTTGTTGGCAAGAGCATTTTTTTGTATGTTAAATTCGGTAGTGGGAATGGGAATGAGTTGTAGGTCAATAGGTAACTATTAGGTAACACCACTGTTGTCTTTTCAGATTATTAAAGACTATTGTGATTTTATCTTAATTAGTTATATTTATAATCCTGAGATGAAATAGAAGCAGAAAAATGGAATCACTTTCTTCCTGCTAATTGCAGCCTTAAGAGCTGCACGGCTCTTATTAAAAGTCGAGGCTTATCATGTTAAGTTACAGTGAAAGAGCCTTAATGGAATTTTATGCATAAAGATGGACCAGATAAGCCGATTCATCGTGAAAGTTTTAGGTAGAGTCAGATTGCTTAGTTGCCATTGAGTTGGCCTCTGACTCAAGGTGTTACTGCCCACAAAGGAGTAAAATGCTGCTGCCAGCACCGCACCAGCCTCACCTTCAGTTGCAGGTCTTCCTTTTCTGCCTGGGAGCTCTGATGAAACCTGTTCCACAGCATAAGCCACCACTAACCACCAGTGACCTTATTGCCATTGATTTTGGATTGTTTCTAAATTGCCACTTCAGATAGATGCATTTTGTTGTCTTTAATAGTTTTCCCCAAGTATTTGATTTCAGAAGAAACTGTGAGGATGTGTTTGCTGGCTCATTAAGTGTGAGGTGGGCTCCAGAGATGATGGGCGTGGGGTCTTATTCAAGTTCTTTCCACTCTAAATTTCTTGGAAATTCAGCACCATTAGGTGTTTTTTTTAAAGAGCTATCAGCTAGGTAACCCCATTTTTCCTTGTCTTTTCATCTCCGGAGTAATATATCATATGGTCGTCTGACTCAAAATGCCCCATGCCAGTCCATCTCATCTCTCCAGTGCCTAGTATGTCAATATTTATGCATTTCATTTCTTTCTTAACAATTTCTAATTTTCCTACATTCATGGTTCTCACATGATATATTACTCTGGAGATGAAAAGACAAGGAAAAATGTCGTTGCCTTCATAGTAAAAAAAGTTATTTCTAGATCCATCTTGAAGTACAACATCGTGAGTGACAGGATTATATCCATACACTTACAAGGAAGTCAATGAATACCACTATCATTCAGATATATGCACCAACAACCAGAGCCAAAGAAGAAGAAATAGATGATTTCTACCAACTCTTACAGTCAGAGATGGATCGAACATGCAGTCAAGATGCATTGATAATAATGGGTGACTGGAATGCAAAAGTTGGGAACAGAGAAGAAGAAGAATCAGTAGTTGGAAAACATGGGCTTGGTGACAGGAATGAAGCTGGAGATAGAATGATTGAATTTTGTAAAATCAATGACTTATTCATTGCAAATACATTTTATAAGAGACGCAAACGCAGGTTATACACATGGACTTCACCTGATGGTATGCATAGGAATCAAATCGATTATATCTGTGGAAGGAACCGCTGGAGAAGCTCAATATCAGCTGTGAAAACTAGCCCGGGGACTGATTGTGGAACAGACCACCAATTACTCATATGCAAGCTCAAGCTGAAGCCGAGGAAAATTAAACCAAATCCACAGGAGCCAAAATATGACTTTGATTTCATCCCACCTGAATTTCAGAATCCTCTCAGGAACAGGTTTGAGGCCTTGAACACTAATGAGCGAAGACCAGATGAGTTGTGGGAGGATGTCAAAGGTATCATCCAGGAAGAGTGCACATGGTC